AGTTGTAATTTTAGTTGCTCAATGTGAAACAAATACAAAAATTGCAAAAAAATCAGTGGCGCACATTTTTTCTGTCAAAAATATTGGTTACAGTGCCTTCCGGGACGCAACTGGACATGATAATTTTGATATAGTTAGGGTTAAATTAGCCCTTTACGACCTTGAATAACACTGCCAAATTTCAATAAAATCGGTTGAAGGTATTAAGATATTTACGAAAAAACTATTTCTTTTAAAAATTTTGACACCCTGTATCTTGAAAACGAAGCATTACCGGACCTATGTTTATATGAACTTTTCGTCTTAGAATCACTCAAAGAATCACCCCTTCAAGTTTGGCCACGTACTTGAATAACACCCTGTATAAACAGCTTCTACAGGGTTTATCATTGGGGATAGGAAAAAACTCCAGAAAATTGTACAAGGTGAAACGAATGAATATCGCTGATATAATTTAAGATTTGTCTTGTTTGATTTAAAAAATACACTGCTCCAAGAAATTAACGCACCACCAAAAAGTAGCCAAAAGTTTAGGAAACATTTTCGTCAAAAATACTTGGCCGGTTTGTCCGTTTTTTGTTTTGAATGACTGGTTATTTACTTCTGAACATTAGTGTGCAAGTGTATTCGCATAAAAACCTCTTTTTTTATACATACCGGGTGTAGCAATCACATCGTGTTTTTTTCATGAAATTTGTAATACCCTGTAGAGTTTAATAGTTACACAATCAAAATCGAATTCAAAACTCACTTTAGCCTTTTTTTTTTCAACATCTTTTTTGGTTCACTTCATTATCTTTCCAATTACTCGAGAAACACCATTTTATAGGGTAACATTATTTTACGGAAAATTGATATCCAAATTAAACAACGAAAAAATGAAACATAATGCGAAGTCACAAGTATAAGGAAAAGTTCTGTAGCGAGTATTCCGCCGCGGGCACGAATCTTGTCAAAGACGGCCCATACCCAAAATAAGATACCTAATGTCATGTTGGTTCAGGTATTTCCAAATTTGCATCATCAGTCTCTTCCGTGCGTTTTCCAAGGTATTCAAGTTACGTTCCTCTTGTAATCTCGTCCCAAGAATGTCCCAGAGATCCTCAATGGGTTTAAAACCTGGGCTCCGAGCTGGCCATGCCATTAGCGATACAGACTTCCTCTAGATGATTTCTCACAACTAGGACGACGCGAGGCATTGCATCATCTTGCTTCAACAAACATGCTGACACTATATGTTCTAAAATCACCAATATGTATCTTTCAGCTGTGATACTTCCATTTATGATCACTAGTTCCATACAGCCAGCCAGTCAAAGAAATGCCTTCCCAGACCAAAGCCTGCTATTTTCGCGCTTATAATGCCAATTGAATTGAATAAAATCATACTATCCTATAAAATGGTGTTGAAAAAGGATAAGGCTTGAGTGTGTTTTCAATTTGAAATTGATCACGTATCTGTTACACTCCACAGGGTATACAAATTTCATGAAAAATGAAACATTCTATAACTGCTACACCTGATATTCATAAAAAAGAGGTTCTTATGCGAATACAGTTTGCATGCAACTATTCAGAAGAAGATGATCTAATCATTCAAAACAAAAATCGTCCGAATTGGACTAGTAGTTACGACAAAAATGTATCTCTAAACTTTTGGTTACTTTTTGGTGGTGCGATAATTTTTTGGGGAAGTGTATATTGGGGCCGTCATCCATGCATAAAATAAAGCAGCAAGTTCCTATTAATATGGGCCCAAAATCTTCCTAAGGGACCTACGCCCCTTTGAATACGACTCCTTAATGACGAATTTTTCTCCCGTAACTTTGAAACCCTTCACAATTAAATTTTGAACATTGGGGTGTGCGGAATAAACATTTTTTGATGGTCAATAAGATTCTAAATTCAAAATTATTGATGAAAATTATTCTGCATCACCTTAAAAAAACAACCCTTTTTAACTAACTATTATTTACCATCAACTGTCTATACCGTACACAAATTTTCAAAATTTAATATTTAAGGGTTTTAGAGTTATAGAGGAAGAACTCTATTTAACCTGTCCTATTGATTCAAAGGGGCGTATCTTCCTCAGAAAGCATTCCCGGACCCATGTTAATAGGAACTTTTTGCCTTATTTTTATGCAAGGACTACGCTCCCGAAAGGATGCCGCTTACTTTTGAGTCACCATGTATTTTATTGGAATTCGGTTCAACCGTTTTCGTAATATTTGAGGTTGAAAATTTTTGCCTCGCTCACAAACTCACTCACTTCTCTGGAACACCGTAGAAAAGTTGGCGGTCTGGCTCTATTTTATAATATATATATTTTCATGGACGATCTGAAATATCAACAATTGTTCCTCCCTTGGCAGTCCCCGCGTGATAAACCCGTCGAGTTGAGGCTTCGCACCCCTTCGTGGTCACTTTGGAGACCTGCAGAACATCTCTTTCCAAAGACTCGTTCATCCAACGAACAGTAAGGCTCTGGAACGAATTGCCAAGTGAGGTGTTCCCCGAGGCATATAACCTCCAGAAATTTAAGAACACCAATTCCTACCTTATTTACCTTGGTTCTCATGATGTTCTCTGAACATTACAGGATATCTCTTTTCGTAGGAACCAGAACATAAAATAAATAATATAATATAAATTCTTATGTTTGAAATGCATTTTCAAACACAAGGTTTTTTTGAAATAATGTCCAATGAACTGTTCCTGCATTTTTTTGATCAATACACATTAAAACAAATGTGTATTGATTTCGATATTCGCAGGTTAGAATGGTCGATATTGGTTAATTTCATCCATCCTGCATTTCATTTATTGAAAATGAAAACGCCAGCAAAATACATTCAGTGTAAATGTAATAACTTCACAAACAATAAGATTTCCACAAAATTCTCAAACACACATATGTTTCGCTAAACACAAAAGTTTCGTCAGGTGAACTTCAGTTCGTTATACCAGTATATCACCTGAAGAAGCTACTGTGTTAGCGAAACATGTCATGTGTTTGAGAATTTTGTGGAAATATCGTTTGTGAAGTTTTTACATTCGCCATGGATTTCCATCAAGTAACGGCAGAGTCAATTCAAAACATTGAGTATATACATTTTGTCTGAACAAGTAAATTTTCCAGCAAATTAATAATAATGAAGGCTCACTTCAGAGTGGAGTCTTTTCATATCTGTATACAGGGGTTGCGGTGTTGATGATGAACCCTGTAGAAGCTGTTTGAATATTCGCAATGACCCCTCTACAAAAATCTGTTCCACCTTGAATTTTTTCGTGAACGAAAATGACTCGGAATATTTAGTCCAGTAACTTTGTCGCCTGAACATTGGGGGGTAGTATGCGTTATGCGTTCATGATGTTGGCCTAATGAATAATCCAAGTTTGTGACCTCGAGCACCAAACGCAACTTTGTCAGAAATCGAAAAAACCGCGAAAAAATCGTAATTTTTTCAAATTTTGGCGATTATAACCCTGAAGGGCTAGTTTTTGAACAAAAATCTCTCAGGACGTTTTTAAAGCAGATCAAATTTGCTACAATATGATATGAAAACTGTCTTTGTAGACCCAATAGTTTTCGAGATTAAGCCTTTCAAAGTTTATCATTTTTTTCGAACTCCGCAACTTTTTGCAATGTTTTAGGATGAAGTTTCAATTACCTCCGACGGAGTGTGCTAGTACTTTTCGCGTGAAGTCACGAATGCGACCCACCTGTAGCACGTTCTCAAACTTTCTAGGCAATCTAAACCACGGGACTTTTAAGCTGTCAAGATGGCGCATGGTTGTAGGGCCATCACATATAATAAGTATTGGTTTTCTCTCAGGTACCTGCTACACATCTCTTTGATTCTGTTGTTAGATCCTTTCTCTTGATGGCTGCTTTCCACATTTCTCTTATTTTTGATAGATCTTTTATCTGTGGATAATGCACAGAGTTTTTCACAGAATCACAGTAGGAATGTGAAAAAACTAAGCAAATTTTCCCGATTTGCACGGCATCCACTATCCACCACAATACCCGTTACCTCATTTTTCCTTTAAAATCATATTGAGTTCATTATTCACAATAAATCTAAGTAAAACTGAATAAAATAATACTCTGAAAGGTTTCCAAAATCCACCAAGTCACGCCACGAGGCCTCAATCCCAAAATGATGAGCTGAGATGCAGCTCCACAACATCTCTTACGGATGATTTCTTGTGGCTGCATGAAGGGTTGTGGGAACGCGTGCAGCTGCAGAAAGTCAGGATTTAAATGCTCATCAGTCTGCAGGCACTGCAGTGGGGCCTCTTGTGACAATATACCTGATGTTGTAGTAGTAGAAGAAGGCGACGATCTGTCCGATGTTGAAATGGAGGATGACTTGTGGGCAAAAGACGTCGACGATTCATCACCATTCCCTTATGGGGATATGCCATCCCAATACGTCGATCCAGATCCAAACGAACCTCAAATGGGACCTTCCAAGAAGGTTAAATTAATCTAATTTTTTGATCTTTAATATTACTCTATCTCCCAACAAATAAACTCATTCACTTTTGTTGTACTCATCTTTTTTATTTCATTATACGTAGCTCAGCTTGAACATCCTCATTCACACTCCTTATTTCCTTTCGTATCATCTCATCATGAAATTACAGGGCTTCGATTGTATGATCAGGGTCAAAATTCAATCAGAATGACAGGATTGCAAAAAAATTGCGAAGTTTGAAAAAGATGATAAACTTTTTATATCAATTTGGTCTACTTTAAAAACGTTCTGAAAGAGTTTTTTTTTCAAAAACTAGTCCATTAGGGATTTTTTCGCAGTGTTTTCGATTTTTGACAAAGTTGCGTTCGGCGCTCAAGGTCACAAACTTGGATTATTCATTAGGTCAACATCATGAACAAGTCTGCAAAAAATCAGAACTACCGGATTTGACGCATACTGTGATGTATAAAGTTACTGGATTAATTGGAAAACCGTTCTTTTTGTGGTCTATAGAACCAGAATCGCAATTCGGGCAACCAACACAACCGCAACAATGACAGACGCCGTTCGGGCAACAACCAGAACAAGCGCGACGACAAGAAGAGCGACGCCAAGAAAGAGGAAAAGAAAGAGGTGAAGAAGGAGAAGGTGGACGTATCGATAGACGACGCGAACGAGGAGAGCGGCGACACGAAGAGGGACTGGAAGGACGAGAAGAACAACGCCGAGGAGAAGAAGGAGGAGGGTGGGGAGAAGGAGAAGAAGGGCGGCAAGGACAAGTCGGGGCCCTATTTCGACATTCCGGCCAAGTTTCTGCGGTGCTTCGTGTGCAACAAGGTCATGTGGGACGGGGAGTCCATGCAGAAGCACGTTAGAGGTTGGTAAATAATGTCGCTTCTAGAATTAGTTATTTATACAGGGTATATCTAAATCCAGGGGCAAACAACTCTCCATAAAAGTGTACACCATATTGAAAATATGTGATTTTTGTAAGTAATGAAAATATTTAGAAAATATTTCAAAGTAATTAATATAATTGAGAAGTACTGAAGATTTGAGAATTAATCAGAATACTTAAGATTCAAGATACTTTGAGTGGAATTGAAAAGAATCTAGTGATATTATGAAGTAATTTGAATTATACAGTGTGTTTTTTATATATTGCGACAAAACTCAGGAACGTGTTCTTTTGACAAAAATTCGCAAAGAAGTTCCTATAAACATAGGTCCTAAACCTTTTAGATTTTGAGCTACAGGGTGGTAAAGTTTTAACAAAAAAATGATTTTTTTTCGATAACTTAAATACCCCTGTAGATATTTGTCCAAAGATTGGTATGCAGGGTCTGTGTATCCAGAGCCATTTACCAACATACTTTTAACATTTTTATGTTCTCCAGTGGCGTGTGTGCGGGTTTTCCGCTGAATACTTTTATAAAGAAAAATGGTACGCCACTGGTTTTTCTTGTATTAAAAAATATTTTTAAATTCCCCGTTTTATTTGCAACATTTTTGATCCCTTGGACTTTGTCCGTTAGATGCACGGTTTTCGCACAAAAAATTAGAAACCATGGACATGTTGCTCAGATTTGATTAGACTTTCTTTATTCTAGTAATTATTCTTTTTTTTTAGTTTATTGCAATTTTAATAATAAATAATGAAATTTTTATTAATCAATTTAGTACAAAAGCCAGCCCAATTTAATGAAATTGTAATTGAGGATTTAAAACTTTTGCTTCTACAATCTTTAATTTAAAATACAAGTTTTTAAGTGATAAAAAATATTTCATTTTTTATTATTTATTTAAGTAATATTATTATTTTTACAAAAGTTGTTCAAAGTGTGCTCCTCCAACATCAATACAATCATCTAATCGACGTCGCATTGATTGGCGGACACGTTCAAAAATTCCTGGTGTCTGCCGAATTATGTCACAAGACGTTATAATACGATTACGCGATTCCTCCACATTATCAATTGGATTTTTATAAACCAGTGATTTAAGGTGTCCCCACAAAAAAAAATCCAGCGGATTTAAGTCGGGAGACCGTGGGGGCCAAGGGTTAATACCTCCCCGACCTATCCAACGATTTGGATACGTAATATCCAAATACTGCCGAGCCACTAAACTAAAATGGGCTGGAGCACCGTCATGTAAAAATGACATTTGCTGTCTCAGCTGAATGGGGACATCTTCTAGCATCACTGGTAATTCATTTTCAAGAAATTCTTGATACACTTGTCCAGTCAACCTTGCTGGTAAAAAAAATGGACCGATGAGAAAGTTTTCAATAATGCCGACCCATATATTAAGTGAAAACTGGTGCTGATGACGGTTTTCTGCCACAGCATGTGAGTTCTCATAATGCCATATGTGGTTATTGTGGAAGTTCATAATTGCGTCCCTGGAGAAATTAGCCTCATCGGTGAAAAGTATTTTTCTTATAAACGGTGCATCTTGCCTTATGCGTTCTTGCATCCAACGACACAAAGCCGTTCTTTTCGGAAAATCGCCTGGCAAAAGTGCCTGCACCCGCTGAATATGATACGGGTATAAAAGGTTTCTTTTAAGAATATTCCAAACTGTAAAGTCACTAATGTGTACCGTCTGAGCAATTTTCCTAGTGCTTGTGGTGGGATCTTCCTCGAATTCATTGAGCACTTGTTCTTCAATTTGAGGAGTAACTGTTCGGGGATGTCCGTTTTCAGCAGTGAGTTTTTTAAAGCTGCCGGTTTCACTTAGACGTTGGTGTAAACGCGTAAACATGGAGTGATGAGGAATAACACGATTCGGGTAACGTTCAGCATAAATACGCAAGGCTTCTCGTGCGTTTCCGTTAGCCAGTCTATAAATGAAGTGCATATCGCACATTTCATTATTTGTGTAATTGTTAGCCATTTTTTTAACAAATTAATCTTGTCAACTTGTACTTAAATTATTTACTTTGACATTAATTTTGACGTCTTAAACAAGAATGTGATTATCGTTGCGGCGGCGTTGTCTAGTGTTGCCGTCTAGACTTATACGTTCTAGACTCTTGTCTTGTCTAGAATATCAAGACAAGATCATCAATATGTCTTGTCTAGATTATCTATATAAGACAAGACTTTTCATTTTCCATACAAGACTTTGATTCAAAACTCTTGATTATTTTCAAATCTATATTACAAATACGTCGTTTCGCAGGTGCGGCTATGATTTGTTTTGATTGGTTCCCAGAGAGCGGGAGTTTGCATGCACTTGACTGTTTCTACGCAATTTAAGCTAAGCGTCTTATCTAGAGTCTTAAATAATAATCTAGACTTCCGTTATCTAGACAAGACCGCACTTAGCTTATTTAATCAAGACTTACGCGTATACAACTCTTGTCTTGAAATTTCAAGACAAGACAAGAGTAGGTAAACTCTTGTCTTGTCTTGTCTAGATGGCAACACGTCCGTAGTTACGTTAAAAAAATTATGTTCACAGGCGATTTTGGAAGCGTGAAATATTAATACGTTACTCATATGTCACTTTTTTAACATGTTACATATTATGAACTACAATGAAATTTTCAATATAATTTAAAAAAAAACTTACTTTTTATAACGATCATAGAAAAAATAAATTTTTGCGATCAGTCAAAGTAGATGTTTTTTATTTTTTTGTGCGAAAACCGTGCATCTAACGGACAAAGTCCAAGGGATCAAAAATGTTGCAAATAAAACAAGGAATTTAAAAATATTTTTTAATACAAGAAAAACCAGTGGCGTACCATTTTTCTTTATAAAAGTATTCAGCGGAAAACCCGCACACACGCCACTGAATTTTGTCGCAATATATAAAAAACACCCTGTATAATGAAGGAAACTCACAGTTCAACATAGAATAGTATATCTTGATTTTTCTTTCAAATCTTTTTTTTATATCTACTGGAGCTATTGAACGGTCCAAAATTTGCAGTTAATTTTAATTAACTGTTTTTTCCAGGCTGAAAATAAAAAAAAACGAGCCAATTCCGTTAATTCGGAATGAGGTAATTTTGTGCATATGGAGGGTTGAAAGCATGACGAACAATATTTTGGAGTTAGTTTTCTTGCAAGAAAATCCTAATATGATTTCATACGAAACGACCCCTTTATATTTCAATAAAAAAGGAGGGCACAGTCCAAAAGGCTGTTAGTCCATGTAAACCTGATCATATTGATGGTTATTCATATCGGAATCGCACGACTATAATTGAGCTCTTTTCTTCCTCCAACTAGAGAGAGGAAAGTTCTCTCCTTCCATCTTTCTCTTCAGTGCTACCAACGTGGCCGCATTGAAATGTAGAGAGATCCGATAAATCTTTCCTTGTCTAACGGCTACTCTGAACTCTGCGCCACTGAACTATTTTTGATGTTATAATGATGTGACATGTCTATGTCATAAATGTCATTGACTAATAACCTTTCGAATTTCTTAAATGAAATTTTGAATTAAATAATTCGTATTTTGACCTCATTTGTTGATATCGTTAAATTTGACACTCTGCTGAGTTGAAAAATAGTTCAGTGGCACAAACTAGATGTTAGACAAGGACAGATTTATCGGACCTCTCTATATTTCAATGGTTGCGTTGGTATCATTGAAGAGAAAGATGGAAGAGGAGATAACTTTCCTCTCGCTCGTTAAAGATAGAAAAGACCCCAATAGCTGAGATATAGAGGGGGGCGTTTAAAGAGGCATGCTGTATAAAATAGATTTCATTTTTTTTCATCAGTATTTTAGAGTTAATTTAGATAAATATTCATCAGTGAAGAAACATCTGTAGAAACGAAATTTTTATAAAACGGAATTTTTTGAAAACTGAATTTTTGAAATTCCCAAGAAATTTGTTTCCTTTCTCTATGAAAGAAAATGCGCTGGAATTTATTGCGCCACTGCAAACCACTACTGTAATGTCTGTAACAGAGACTAGTAGTCGGTAAGCCAGTTCAGAGAGTACATCTCCCGTAAACTCAAAAACTCAAACACACCGTTTCTAATTCTCATTTGCCCATCGGGATTTTGGGATTCACTCAGTTACTATCGCGAACTTAGGCAGACGAGAAATGTGAACAACGCTGAGTCTCCTCAATACGAACTTGAAAATAATGTCAGGAGACTTCAGAAGTATTTGAAGAAATGAAAAATAGAATTACTGTACTGAAAAAGTAATTGAAATATTGTGAAAGTAACTAAAATATTTAAAAAGTAATTATAGTTTTAGGTATTTAAAATACTCAAAAAGTAATTAGAATACTGAAAAGGTAATGAAAATATTTAATGAATAATCGACTGAAGACAACACAAAATATTATTAATACCATCATTCAACTTACATCTCTCACAGCTGTCAGTGGAAGTAATGATCCATCTTTATCACGTTCATTTTCGAAATATTGTATCAATGATACCACCATCTTCTGCGCTTCCGCACTCAATGGTTTGGGCATTTTGAATTAATCAAATCTCACCAATTATCCACAAATAACAAACAATTCCTTGAAAGTACAAATTGTCAGTAATGAATAATTCGCAGAGATCACCTGATCACAACAAATCGTTTCTAGAAATGTCAAATGAATCTGGCATCGGTGAACAGTTTTGCCAACTTGAATCGATAACGCGGTTCGACCATTTCGAAAGTTACTAGTATTTTTCGATGTGCAGTTTTGGCACAACATTGTTACCAAGTATTGTGCAACTGTCAACCTAGCGTGAAAGCCCTTTAACACCGAAAAAATTCAAGGGGTGTTTCCTTGTGACATTCTAGCAAATAAACTTCATATACCCGTATGGAACGCCACTTTACTTTTTATTACCAATTCGTTGTAAATTATAAATCACACATTTAAAATGTTTCATATTTATTCC